GAAAAGGGGAACCACAAAACGTCCTTAAGAACTGAAGGAAAGGGGCACCACAAAATTTCTCATCGCCAATTTTACCATGGAATATATGGTGCAGGTAAACAATGATCGTGAGATATGGAATAGAGGGGAAAAACACATACAGTCAAAAGTCGTTAATCCGGACTCGTCGGGACTTCGGCGATTCCGGATTATCGATTTTTCTGGATTATAGATCATCAGTTTAAATCTGGTAAAATGGATGCAGAAAAAATTATAAAAATTAAAAATATGAAACCGTAATTTACGAAATAAAGAACAATTGTGATCTAAAGGGTATCAAAATTTACAAAAAAAAAAAAAAAAAAAAAAAAAAAAAAAAAGAAAAGCTTAATATTTATTTGTTTACTTTATTAAACATTTCTTTCAATGTAAGTTGTTTAAGTTGCTTCGTTTTTTATGTAATAATACATTCTCTTTAATTCTATAAACAGACATAATTTCTTGTTCAGTTACAAAGTTCCGCTGTTCAAGTCCTATAATTGCTGTGTCGAGAATACCGACTAATTTGTCAATCGAAATTTTTTCATTTTCAATAACCTCTGTTACTTTCTTCGCTATCGGAAGCGAATTACAATGACGAGGCATTTGATTTAAATCATATCAAAGATGGAGTACGTCGAGATGAAATACTACATTCAGTAAGCAATTATAAGCCAAATAAAATAAAACATCTGCCCTTAAGATAAGGATAGTGCTGACAGATCAACTTCCAATTCATTGCAGGCCGCCACCGCATTAAAGATAAACAAAGTTTTAGATAAACAAACGTTAAAGTTTAGATAAACAAATGTTAAAGTTTAAATAAGCAAAGGATATGCCTTTATCCATTTTCTGCAGCAATTCCACTTTTTGTTTAATGGACTCCGAAAGATACTTTCGCTTTGTATATCCTTTACATATTAGTAAATATATATCGGAAATTCTATTTGACATAATCGAAAGTTCAAGCTTACTTTTATAAAATTGCTCTAACAGTCTGCAAAAAATAATAATCCGGATCCAATTCGAAGATTAAGGAACAACGCAATCTGCAACATTAACTGAAATAGATAATTAGATAATTTTAGCTTAGCTTATCCCATCCGTTATCCATTAAACGCGCATTCGTAAACGTATTTTGCGCACACGCACACGCAAATTCGCAGCGGTAAAGGTCTTACGCGCAAGCGTCAACGCGACGCATGCGCAGAAAGTTTGTAGCTTTGAGGTCCGGATAATGGATGTCCAAATTAACGACTTTTGACTGTATAAAGCAAAACCTTTTAAGTGCTTAGGGCATCTAAAAATTTTAATCAGGCTCTGGCCTGGTCTTTAGTTGCTATATTGTTGGCCGAGTGTTCCAATCCCGAAAAAGGCATGGTTTCATCGTAGCTGTCCAACCCCTCCTTCTCAGAGGTTCAAAATCTGTCTATCCCTTGCAGTGTACACACTCAACAACATTCTTCGTGATGAGAAAGCAAAATAATTCATAAGTACAGTCATTTCAGCTGTCCAGTACTTAATACACAAATATATATTTAATTGAGGAAAGCTCACTAAATTCTCACCTGAGCTCATAAAATATAGACATTAAAATGTCTGCTTATATTTCATGAGCAGACTCTTGAACTTCATGTCTGCTTACATTTCTGAACTTCTAGTTTATACAGTCAAAAGTCGTTAATTCGAACCTCAAAGCTACAAACTGTCTGTGCATACATCGCATCGACGCATGCGCGTAAGACCTTTATGGCTGCGAATATGTGTGTGCGTATGCGCAAAATAAGTTTACGAATGCGTGCTTAATGTATAACAGACGGTATAAGCTAAGCTAAAATTATCTAATTCAGTTAATGTTGCAGATTGCGTTGTTCCTTAATCTTCGAATTGGATCCGGCTTACTATTTTTTGCAGACTGTTAGAGCAATTTTATAAAAGTAAGCTTGAACTTTTGATTATGTCAAATAGAATTTCTGATATATATTTACTAATATGTAAAGGATCTACAAAGCGAAAGTATGTTTCGAAGTCCATTAAACAAAAAGTGGAATTGCAGCAAAAAACGTATAAAGACATATCCTTTGTTTATCTAACCATTTCGAAATCTGTTTATCAATTTCAAGCTGCTCTGCGTGTGTGTGTGTGGGGGGGGAACATCGCGGCGCGCAATGAACTAGAAGTTGATCTGTCAGCACTATCCTTATCTTCAGGGCAGATGTTTTCATTTTATTTGGCTTATAATTCCTTACTAAATGTAGTATTTCATCTCGATGTACTCCGTCTTTGATATGATTTAAATCAAATTCCTCGTCATTATAATTCGCTTCCGATAGCAAAGAAAGTGACACAGAGTTTATTGAAAACGAAAAAATTTCGATCGACAAATTACTTGATATTCTCGACACAGCAATTATAGGACTTGAACAGCGGAACTTTGTAACTGAACAAGAAATTATGTCTGTTTATAGAATTAAAGAGAAAGTATTATCACATAAAAAATGAAGCAACTTAAACAACTTACATTGAAAGAAAATGTTTAATAAAAAGTAAACAAATAAATATTAGGCTTTTTTTGTAAATTTTGATACCCTTTGGATCATAATTGTTCTTTATTTCATAAATTACGGTTTCATATTTTAATTTTATAATTTCTGCATGCCATCTTACCAGATTTAAACTGATGATCTATAATCCGAAGTCCCGACGAGTCCAGATTAATGACTTTTGACTGTAGTTAGAATGGTATCTATACAGTTACACAGAGCCTGATGTATTTAAAACCACAAGCATAGGAATTTCGAAAAACTTTTAAAAGGAAGTTAAGTTTCCACTGGTCAGTTTGATCAAATTGAGCTGGATATCCTCTTTTAAATGGATAAATTTTAAATACAGAATATGAATCAATAAATAAGTTTATTAATTATGAAAAGTTAGATTTTCTCTTAAGAATGACAGAGCAAACATTTAATTTTCAACATAAATTTTAAATACAGAATATGAATCAATAAATAGTTTATTAATTGCAGAGTGTACCAATTATGAAAAATTAAGTTTTCTCCTAATAATGAAAGCAAATAACATTTAATTTTCCGCATATTGTTTATTTTTAAGAGTACTTACTATGATTTACTAATATCTGAAGTTTTCAAGTATTTGTAAAATATTGCAATTATTTTCCCATCCATTATTGATTTATAAAATTATTCCATAAGGTTAAAAATAAATTCTGATATTGATGCTAAAAACAAAGATAGATGTTACAAGACTAAACAAAAACTGAACATTAAACATTTTGAAGAAAAGGCTACACTTCTCCTATGTAGTATAATGCTGATTATATAGAAGTAAAGTGCTTTAGAAGATACCACACTTGTAAACCTACTGGGCAAATTCAGATAATTCTGCAAATGTAAAATACTTACAATTCAAATATATCCTCAAGTTAATATATCTGTCAGTTTACAATTATCAGACTGCAAGAATGCTCTGTAAACATAACAAAATCATTAACTAGTCCTTCAAGTCCTACTCCAATAATTTTCCAACAAAGATTCCCACATTATTATACTAATTAATATTCACTTTATAGCATTGTTTCACAAAATTTTACCAATTATGCTTTAAATTTTAAGTCTTGTTATTCTGCTTGTGCATGCATATAACAGTAGATAATTATGAATTTAAATAAGAGTATATGACATTTTCAAGAAATGCCCATTCTCAAGCAAAAACCCGATGAACTAACAATATACAAAAAAAGCTTATTAATGCAAATAAAGACAGAGTTTTTGTTACAAAAAGTAATTAAAAGGAGGTAGTCATGTAAAGAAATAAATATTGGACCATATTTATTTATCCTCTCAGAACAACTGAGTACATTCTGATTAAAAATAATTACTTCACTAAAATCATAACTTTTACAAATCTAACAATTTTTATATCATTATAAAAACAATCATGATTCTGCAAAATTACTGTTTTCATAACAAATATTAATTAAATTAAATTGATAAAATTCTACATGCACTGAATTTACTTTTTAAATGTACATAATTCAGAGAAGACAACATTTGTTACATTAGTATAAATAACATACCAATATCACATACACAAAAAATCTGAATGACCACAGTATATAAATGTGTGTTGTGTATCTTGGTTCATTGGTCTTATAACTTTCAATGCATTTAAACAGTACTTAATTTTCCTAAAATTTGAAACATGCAGTAAAGAAATATAAAAAGGTAATTTTAAAACTGTGAGGAATTTTTAAACCATTTAAAAACAAAATGTGAAAAACTAAATTCAGCATTAAAACTACATTAAGATAAAAGAAGTAAGAGGATTTAACATAAATGTAATCTAAGCCCGGAAAAATAATATTTTGTTTACAATAATGACCGAATTCAGTATAAAAAATATGAAGACAATTCACTGTTTAATAAAACTGATGTTTCATCACAAAATTGGAAAGATATTTTAAAAGCTTTTGCTTTCTGCAAAAGCAAGAGTAAAAAAAACCACATTAAGTACAAGCATGAGCAAAATATATTTTCCAATTATGAAAGCATCTGCATAAATAATTGCATTTGTATATACATTTAAAACTGTTAACTAAAATTAATTTAGAATAAGAATATATTTTCAAGGAACTGCTCATAATGCAGTAGTTTTTTTTTTTTTTTTTTTTTTCATATTCACTTCAAATAAATATAAAAATACATTTTAACAAAACATTTATTAATTATATGTTAAAATAAATTCCATTTTCTTATAAAAGTTTTCACGTAATGAATTATTTACAAAATTGATATATGGAATATTTTTCTTAACACTGATTTTGCAATTACATTTAACACAATTTTGTATTTCTTAGCACAGCAAAACCTAAAGAAAAAGATTATTTAAATAATTTGCCCAAACTTTTATTTAAGAGACGAAATATAATAAGCAAAAGTTTTTCTTTAACTTTTATAAGAAAGTTTTTTTTTTTTTTTTTTTACTTATTAGGAAGAAGAGAATAATATAAATTTATTTTTGCTGATTTAAAAAAAAATATTGAACTTGCATACTATCCTAAACACCTTCATAAGAAGTTTGACTTTCAACATACTTATAGAATTCATATAAAATAATACAGTATATATTTTAATTTGCTTACTTTTAAATGGAAGTATTCATCCATTTTGAAATGAACAAAACACAATATGAATTTGTAAAAGCATAACAAGACTAAATTTACATATCTTCATTTAAATTTCAACATTATAAACACTATAATAACCTGACAACAATATTTATAAACAGTGATTTTACAGAGGCAGCTTAACAACACTATACTAAAATTAGAATTAGAAAGCACAGGCGGAAAAAAAGGGGACAACAAACAAATGCATAATGTAATATGCAAGAATTAAGTTACAAATGGAAGAATATAGAATGTAACTTATTAATGCATAGTACAATTTGGTGCCAAATAGCTATACAAACATTTTAGGTATGTAAGCAAATACAAAGCTCTTTCTAACAAACATGTTTGCAAATATTATATTCACTGATTATGAAGGAAAAAATAATGAAAATTTAAGTACCAATTTTTTCAGAGACAACAGCATCCACGGTCCTGGAGATGCCAAGGATGAATAAAGCTTGGAACTCAGCAAGACAAAAGCTGACTGATATGTACATATTACAAAAATATATCAGCAAAAAAAGTATGTGTACATCTTCATTACTGACAGGTCATCCTTTTTCTGATACCTGTTTCAATTTATATACAGCAGTAAAGATAATGAACAATTTAATACATGCATTAGTTTTGTAATGTGTCATAGGATTGTACAGAACCATCGTGCTTTCTTAACTGGTTCATTAGCTCTCAGCTGATGACCACATGTTTTTGATGGTTGTGTTGCTTCCTACAAGAGAAAACAGCACATAAAAAATCAATGCAGATTAAAAAATAAATAAATAAAATCTGAAAGGTTTCATAATTTAATGATTGCCTAAAAAGATTTTCATGCTCTTGCTGAGTTTGCAGTCTACCAATCTGCTCTTGCATTTACTCCCCCTTTTTAGTTTCACTATTAAGCACTATTTTCTTTGCACTTATGCCACATACAGTTCAACAACAAAAATCACAAAATTTTTGAAAGCTGCATAGCAGCATATGCTTAGAATTCCCGGTGCAGTGTTAAGTGATGGCATACATTTATATAAAATTTAACAAACATGTATATACGTAAAAAGCAAATTTAAAGTTAAAATTAAAAAATGTGCAAACATATAAAAGATTTAATTTTCGAAATAATCTACAATATCATTTAAAATTCAAATAGCATACGTAAATCAAGTGCAAAACCAAACCATGAAAATAAATTCACCAATTTAGCAAATTAAAATTAATCTAAAAAAATTTTTTTTAAATGCATAAGTGAATGACTGTTGAGTTGCACATTTTTTTATTTTAACTTATAGTTAATATATGTAATACATAAAATACGTAAAATTTGCTTTTATGTATTACATGTTTGTTAAAATTTCATTCCTTGCAGCAATGGTGCAAAAAATTAATTAAATTTGTATTTAAATTCAATTTATTCTTTTGAAACATACATTTATATATATATATATTAGTCTTCTTAGTTTATCATACCAATATTCAGTTTTCTTAGTAAGCTGGTTAACATTTTTCTGGCTTTCAATTGTTACTTTTTATGTGCTAATTTTATTTATAAAATATCACATTCTTTGCACTTACACTACATAAAATTCAATCAACAGCAAAATCACAAAATATTTATTAACAGCATAGCTTTAGAATTCCCAATAGTGTTAGAGGTTGTCATACGTATTTTTATATTTGCAATATTATTTCTATTTTTTTCCTAGAGTCCAGCTATTGTAATTTCATAAAAATAATTATCATTTCTAATTAGACATATCATGATTTTAATAAATGTTTATTTAAATCAGTCACATCATAAAGTAAGAAAAAATATTCTTAAGAACTGTATTTATTGCTTAGTTTGTTACTCAATAACCCTCCAGGTTAAATTTGAAAGTATTTTGGGCTTTACTGAGTTGCAACATGTTGACATATGGAAAATAAAAATATTTTATTTCTAGCCACTGCAACACCTGGCTTTCATGAGCCAAGTTTGTTAATGAGCAATGACAGAAAAATATCTTACATTTTTCTGAATGGCAACAGTTTCACATGCTGGAGATAAAAATGTTTTATTTTGAACAGTGCTGCCATTGCTTGCTTTCAAATTGTTGAGTTTGTTAAACAAAAATTCACTAAATTTTTACAAAATATGAAAAAAAATAATTAAAAATTTTAAATTCAGGCCTACAGATGCACGTGTTTGGATGGAGGACTACGTTATTCACAATCCAAGAGCTGTAGGTACTGTCGTTTTTCAACTATGTGAGGAGCATACATATTTATAGATACAAGCAAGATTCTTCATTTAATTTCTTTAAAAGTAATACAAGTTGATAAATTAGGTGGCAACAATTTGAAAAGGGATATACCATTTATAGTGAACCAATGCAAAACCCCATTTAGAGACTAGTGGCCCCTTTTGAACTAAAATCTAACACAGAGTATGATTGCCTACCTAATAAATGATTTAAGAATTTTTAGTTATTTCTTTATGTGTGAAGTTAAAAATTTACACACTGAATAAGTAGTATATAATAAGTAAATATATAACTATGGTAACCAAAAATTGTACAATAAACTATTTTTAAAGCTATCTAAAAAGAAGATCATTTTAAAATTAATCTTGGATATAATTCAAATGAACAAACTATATTCTTTTGGTAATAAAGTCATACATTAGACTGGTAAATAATGTGGAATTGTAAAATGTACATCTAAGTTACTAAGTAAATGCGCAATTATATAAATAAAAATTGTTCGTGTAGAAACTTTTTAAAAAAAATATTTGAAAAGGAAGAATATTTTAAAGTTTATCTCTTAAAACTGTTCAAATGAATGAATTACATTCTCTCTCTCTCAAAAAAAAAAAAAAAAAAAAAAAAAAAAAAAAAAAAAAAAAAGGCACTAGACTGTCAAAGAAATATAAATGTAAACTGAGATTACAGCACATTAAAAAATTTCTCCAAGTTTGAACTTATTACACATATTTTATTCATGAGGTGACAACAATATAATGGAAGCTTGTCATTCACTGGTGAACACAAAGCTAACTACAAATTAAATTTACTAAATGTGAGTCCATAATGACAGCACAGTACAATTAAAATGCAGAAATTATACAATTAAAAATATGAAACTGTAATTTATGAAACAAAGAGCAATTATGATCTAAAGGGTATCAAAAAAAGATTAATATTTATTTGTTTACTTTATTAAAATTTTTTTTCTATGTAAGTTGTTTAAGTTGCTTCAATTTTTGTGCTAATACTTTCTCTTTAATTCTATAAACAGACATAATTTCTTGTTCAGTTATAAAGTTTCACCTATCGGAAGCGGTATTTTCTAGATTTAGAACCAACTATACTATAGATTTCGCCATCCGTTGATTGATGACTGGGGCATTGTCGCCGCAATGGAAAACTTCTGTTATATCATCTTTCTTTATTACCATTTCTCCACATTTGTTTACAAAATTCATTAGCTGGAAAATTTCACCTTTAGTTCGCGATGTCTGAAAACCTTCAAATTTGCGGCTATCATCTTCATCATCTTACTATGAAATATGGTAGTTAGCCATAAATTATGTCAAGCATTTTTTAACGTATCTGGAGACATTCTCCCAACGCGCATGCATAAAGCATACAAAAAAAAAAAAGTTTGTGGCTTTGAGGTCCGGATAATGGACGTCCGGTTTATGGACTTTGTACTGTATAATGGAGACTTTTTATGGAATATCTAACAGATATATGTGCAGACAAGAAAATATACATGTGATACAGCAGATTTATAGGAACTGGCTACCTTGCAATGCAAAGTTAAGAAACTAGCACAGACCTAAGTTTGACGACACATTACCAGGAGTACAGATACTGAGAACTTATAAGATGCAAACTCATTAAGTGCTGATATGCATCTTTTAGCTGTACTTTTAAGATTAATTGTACTCTAAACTCCAAAGGGGGTTATGAATGATACTATGTAAAAAATCAGATCCAATGAATCCTCAGTTGTATTAAATTGTATGAGAAGTCTCATATTATTTTATTATATCATGGTTTGAATGCATCCGATGTCAAACTTTTGCTAAAAATAATATAACGGTATATCATATTTAGAAATACACACATAATTAAACTGTTTACACTTCCAAGCTTAAAATAAAAGCCAAATGTATTAATGCGCTCTTACTCTGATGAAAATTTGCATAAAAAAAGGGTAAAATAAACAAAAAGGACGAAAAAGAATTTAGTTGATAGATCACATTTGTATCTGTTATCAATCTACAGAATCTATAAATATTCAGTAATTAAGGATATAAAGATATAAATTAAAGACTTCTTTTAAAAAATCTGCCTATACATTACAAATTTATTATCAAGGTTTTCATTATTATTTATCAATAAATTTTATTTAAAAAATAATATAGTACTTAATATTACAAAAGGCAAATAAGCTTGTCTTCACATGCAGAATATGCCATAATGAATTAAAGAACATTTAAACCACAAAGCTCATTTTACTGCAATTTATAAAAATCACACTCAAAGATAAAACTTATTCTATCTAGAATAAAACTAAGAACCAAAGGAATTAAATGCCACCAACGATGAAATTTAATCTAGGTTTTCTATCAAGCAGCCAGAACTTAACACTGTTCCTCTAATAGCCAAATGATCAGCCTATCTCCTGGTAACACGACAAGTTAAGGTCTTTAAGTAGTTATCGTGGTTATAGATGCATTAAAAAAAAGCTGCTGTTCTATTACAGTTATCTGAAATAAAATTAACTTTCTTTTCCAACGCTGACTTTATCACACAATGCAACTTGCAACTACACACAAGGCTTAACTCATAAAATGGTATAATAAAACCCTCTTTAAGAAGTTAATATCATGAAGTCCAAAATATTTCCCCATTTTAACAATGTTAGCTTTTCTAGCATATAATTGAAGAAATATTGAAAGGTTTTCCTGTTTAAGAACTTTACATTAATTTTTTGGAAAACTTTTTCTCTCCTTTATTTTTTTAAAGAAATTCTAATTAAATGCACTTATTTTCCAATTTGAATTAGACGCAAACGTCATCAATCTTGTTTATAACAAAGTGTTAGATTATATCTACTGCCGTCAAAGCCCCTTGATTTAATACAGGTCACTTGTTGTTATCATAATGGTTAGCAAAATCCCATGTCACTTGCTATCATAATGATTAGCATGATCCCTAGGCAAATTAAAATTAGCCATTTAAGGTGAAATAAAGAACCACTAAATTTGCATTCATTTTCTTTCACAGTCTGAAACGTGGAAATATCCATTTTGACTGTTATCTAATGCAATTTAACACTGTTTTTGCAGGGCAGGTGTGCATAAGGACAGAATAAAAGACTTTAATTCCCCAAATGAATTATAAAACTGATTTAAAATGGATTCACAAGGGATTTTTTTCATGATGTTTGTACATACGTATGTATGCGTGTATCTCGCATAACTCAAAAATGAATAGCCTCAAAACGTAGAAGAAATTTTGTATGTGGGACTGCTATAAATGTAGATGTGCAACTTCCTTTCTGGTTGCAATAAAACACACAAAAAGCATATAAAAAATTATATGTATATGTATATCCACTTTGTTACTTGGCTCAGTGAGCTCAGTTTCTTTATTCTTATATGTTCATAAATTGAGCATTTTTTGCTTTAAAAATGATTGATTTATGTTGTTCTCTTCTTCCTGTTAAGGTTTTTATGCCTTT